GAGAGAGACATCAAAAACGAATCATTCTTTTTGTGTAAGGGAGCTCAAACCACCAATTGTCAAAAATCTAGAAGGAAAAAATACACAAACCCAACACTAGCGACGACCCAAAGCGTGTCAAAACAATTTGCCATCTAATTGCCCAGATTAGGATTCCGGCGATGAATCCATATGGCATAGGATTAGCTCGTATCACAGAACAGAAAGAATAAAGTCAATTTTCAACGCTTTGGGGGAAAACGAGATAAATGTGTTGCGGAAGTCGTCTTTGAGTAAAGTTGTTTGAGACATGAGATCTAGATTATTTTTTTACCAAACATGATTTTTTTGGAAAATGATTGTAGGTTTATGTGATACATTTTTTCCAAGCAACATAAAGTTGACAAAAGACAAAAGACATGAGATCTAGATTCTTTTCGATAGAAACTGTTAGATTCTCTTTTTTGGAGTATGTAATTGTCATGGTCTGCTCTGCGAAAAGTTGCTCAAGGATTGTAAGAAAACAACTTTGTCCCTGATCACCACAGCTTGACAAACTTAGAGGTGGACATAAGGTTGGAACTCAGAAAGCTAAAAATCCTCTTATAACAATAACACTACAATAACACTATAAGTAGTCGTATAACATATATGTTAACAAATATGATTTTATTTAGAACTAAATCTAAAAGTTGTCCCAGTAATCCAAAAAATATCTAGATAATCCAAAAATTATCTAAATAATCTAAAAGTTAGCCACAATCTACGTATTTGGACATGTTATGTCACGTTTTTTTGTGTATTGTTGTTTTCGTCAGAACATATTTTTATCATTGTTTTCCATGTTATTGGCCATCTAAACCAAATTTAGTAACAGTAAATATTCAACCATGTTATGTTTATAATTGAGGAAATTGTGCAACTAACATATTAATTATCCATATAATACTCATTGTGACGGTCCAATTAATTTAGATTAATCTATATGGCGACATACATAATAAATTTGGTAGCTAAGATTAATTTTCTTACCGTATATTAATTATAACCATCGTATGTTCATTTCCTTACGTCACGTTTTTTTACCCCATCAACTAAAACATTCCAATAATAATTCAAAATTTAGGTTTAGTATTACACAATTTTTAATACATTCAAAGGGCAAACTTATTCAACTCCCAAATAAACTATTTTACATCACCAAAGTCTTGGGACTGTATAAAGAACATATAATATAAACAACATGAAATTAAAAAATTGAGACGCCCCAGGCCCCCAGCTATGACCGTGCTACATCCTCCACTAAAAAAACCACTTCACACGAGGATATACAGTTGCCCCTTGAAAGGTCATCGTACATGCTTTATATTGGCATTTTAAATGTGCCTCGATTGTGGCCTAACCCTCCACACCGTCCACAAACTGTTAAACGTCGCCTAACACCACCCTGAGATCAAAAGTATTCCAAATATAGATGGCACTTTAATATACATATATGCATAATGATATCCGGCTAAAGATAATGTTACCA